CGTATCCATTGTCTTTTTGAAGTCCAGGTCGCACACCAACGCATGCTCCTATCTTCACTGCAAACATTTGCTGATCGGGTATTCCAACATTGGTCATGCGTTTGATTACATTCTGGTCGGTCCAAGGTTTCGTATCCGGCCGCACGACAGTAGACCGATGCATGGTATCGGCAAGACCTACGAATCAAAGCACTTTCTTGTCAGTATAGATCTGCAGCTTTCCCTTTTATCCGTGCTTAAAGGGCTTCGCGCCAATCCCCTTGATATCGTACTGTTATGCATCTTCGAACGTAAAATCCGGCTTCGCGCTGCCGTGCATACCGCATCCATCTCGGATGACCATTTATTTGCCTCAACACACACAACCGAACACGACTCTAAACTATCACGACGCGCTAACAATCGCAGTTTGGAAGGTTTCCAACTGACGGGATGCTGCAATACTAAGGACAAGGTTTCCGGGTCGCCCTCTCGGTGACCTTTTGGACATTCTAGTATTTAAGGTTTCCAACACTCCCCACCACAGCTTGCTTCGTGTGTTGTTCGAGATGAACATGCGTGCGGTACACGCATACGTGACCTCGACTTCGTTAGCGGGTGATTTATGCCCATTGCCAGAGGTTTGACCCGATGCAGTTACTGCAGTGATTCGGATAGAACGTGATTGTTCCATGTTCTAACTGAATCTACGCAAACACGTCTAAACTGGCACGCATGTTAAGAACGTGCTACACTTTGTTACTTACTATGTTATGTACTATTTGAACTTTACTTCCTCACAACATGATGGAATGCATTCTCCGTTAGATCTTACAAGGTTTATCGTGCCGGTGTTAATGTACAATTTCCCCGTTGGTAAGCGGCGGGTTTGTGTTCGGTCACTGCCACTCTTTTACTTGCAGTTTTCCTTAATTCCTTTCGCATTCTACAGGAGCAGGCTATCAGGCGGCAACAAAACGACTATATTAGACAACTACAGAACTACTACGACAATCTGCTGGCCAAACACGCCCTCGCTGAGGTTACCATTGATCAGTTACGTTTCGTCTCTAAAGTGGGTAACGCCTCAGAAAACGACACTCTTTCGCGGCGATCGGGTAGTCAGTCAGCGTTATCTGATGCTATCCCTGCGAGCAACGATGCGCTGCGTCCGAGGCCTCCGGAGAACCACTTTAAGGCCGCTACGGCTTCTGACTCCCTCCGTAGACCGCAGCATGCGAAAAGTTCCTCGTTCTCTTTCCTGCCTCCTGGTTCTCTCCCGGTTGCATCCTCGGGTGTCCAGGCCGGCCTGACAAGATCCGGTTTAAGAATCGATGCCGAAAGTCAGGATGCTGCTTCCAGGCAGAATAATTTCCCTCGGAGATTCATGTCCAAACCCAGACGTCCCCAAGTGCTGTCCGCTTCTTCGGACCAAATGCTGTGAGTCTCTACAAGCACTGCTACCACGTCTTCTGTATAACTGTTCATAAATTGTCAAACAGCAAAATTTACCAAGCTTTTTCAGTAAATTTAGTATGCTATAGCTACGACCTTCTCTCTAGGATACCCTACATCTCCATTGTGGTGTCCCTACCACCATTCTCGTAAATGCTTAC